CAATATTTACGTAAGCTATCAAATATTACTTCTAGTAGTTATATTGTCAAATAGCTTTAAAACGCACTATTGGAAAAGTTGGGAATGCTTTATGCGTTTTTAAATGATTACACCATCTTTTGCTTGGTTTTCTTTCAAGTTAAGTAAACCCACTTATACCATACAATTCGATTTCTTTGGTTAGTTTTGCTTAATAACTACTTAAGAGTTTTTTACAAATAATGAGATTCGAATGTGTGACTTTGTTGCTTAGTCTAGTTAAATATTCTCGTACCGGTTACATATATTACAGTAATGGGGAATACAATTTTGTCTTAAGCCTAGGGCAAAGAAGAGTCAAATGGCCCAGATACAATTTATGGTACATTATTCGAGATAGAAATATAGAAACTATGAGACTACCTACCTAAAGAGAAAAGTATATAATTTCTAGTGTATGATTTAAACCTTTCGTATACGATTCCTTTAAAAGACGAGCTTTATTTATGGGCTGGGATTGGTGGGGTAACACAACTAGCTACTTCCATATACCGGGCCTAGGATATTTCCTATGAGTTGAAATCTATAATATATGCCGATTATTGGGAGATCTTCTAATGCGATTACAAACAAGGCAAAAAAAAAAAAAAGATTAATTACGACGCAACACAACAGAAACTGATTTCTTGGCATGTTTAAGAACTACTCAAATTATTAAAATATATGATTTACTTATTTGGTTGGTTAATGTAAATGATTCGGTATGCGAAATAAAATTAAGAAGCATTAACTAAACACACATAAACAGAATGTCGCATAGTGGATATTTATAAGGACTAAAATATACGGGATCTCGTAATATGGTAATAAATACGTATGTATTGGGTAAATTATGCTAAGCTAAGGTTCTTATTTATGTTACACAATCAATTCAACAGTTGCCAGGACGATTTTCGGATCCATATTACGCTAAAGTGGGAACATGGGCATTTGGATAGTATTATTTGGGGGTAAAGCACGCCTCTTCAAAATATATAGTTTTAATTGAGTTCTAGATCTAACAACTGTGTACGATATGGCAGGAAAACTCGTTAGATTAATTTGCTTTTGAGGCTTGCTTTTGATATCAATGCGTGGAGTTTAAGTTCATTGAATACGTTTTGGTTTTGTTTTGTTTTTTGCTGGGTGAATAACGCTAAAGTAAACCAAGTACACAATACGGAGTACGAGTACAAGAACGAGTACATTCAATTAGAGATACGAATACAATTATGCAGCTGTTATTATTGCTCAGAGTTATACGATATACGGAGTTACGATGCGCCAGTATTGAATTGAGTAAATCAAGTACGCTAAACGTTCTCTTTTTGTTTTTATACAGTAGTTAAAGTACTTGGCGATTGCTCTTTGTTTATTTTGTATTTTTTTTGTTGTATAAAATGTACCTAAGCCGTCGCTGGTTCGTCATCCTGTGGTTGCCATCGTGGTCGTGGTTACCTGGGCCAGGTATCCGCTGGTTCCTTGATCGGCTTCCGGCTTGTCCTTGACTCGAGACTCCTCACTTTTGGTCGTGGTTTTGTGTTCATTAAAATTATGTTATGTTTAGTAGTTTGTACATTTGGTGGGCTACATATATGACTAGCTATATAATTGACTGATCCTAGGTGCTTATGGACTACAGTACTCCCAGTACTCATCGCAAGGATCGTGATCGTCTTCACAAGCGATCTGCGCACCGAAGACAGTTGGTAAACCAGTTTTCTTCTCGCTTCTGTTGTTTTTCTTCGTTCTTTTGTTTGTTTCTGGTTTCTTGTATACTCTTTTTTTATTTTTTGTGTTGTGTTGAAGGGGGACGGAACAAAGGTGTGTGTCTGTGTGTATCTTTCGGGTCTACTTGAGGGGCCAGGACACAACCCCGTTAGTCGATCGCCGCGAATATAACTGCCCTATCATGCAGCCGTAATTGCGCAATTGGCTCGGAAACAACCCCAGGTGCACACGTACAGCTATAGAATTTGTCCTGTGCCGCATCCATCCACATCGAACCCTACTGCTGCGGAGGTCGCAGGAACAGCTGCGCCGAGGGAACAGGACTCGGAACAATGAGCCTGCCAGCCAGTCAGCTAGCAGCTGCTGCTGTTTTATGGCCCGAAAGCGGCGCGCGCGCTCTTTTCCGCTGGGGAGCCGAGCGAGCCACACATTGTATGCACTACTTATGTATACATGTGTGTATGTGCCCACTAAATACTAGTACACGTAGGATGTGTGCTTATCAAGCGGACAAATTGGGGAAAAGTCCATTTCCGCTGCAATAACTGCGCCTCTTCGAGTGAAAACTCCTATCAATAGGTATTGGTAATGTTCCCGTAGTTTTGTCTTCCCTTAGAGGAAAGGTAATCTAAAAGGTTGCTTGGAAGGCCATTTGTCTTGATAATAAAATAGTTAGGTATCTAGTTAGAAGCATAGCAAACCCCCTGCTGAAGTTCTTCCAGCGAACTAAGATGGTAGCTGAACTGTTGAGCCGCCAAATTCTGAGGAGAACGGTGGCCAAAGTGGCTTATAAGGTGCTTATGAGAAAACTGATACGGCCTGCATACAAATTATGACATGGAAATTGGTGCTCGAGTTCGTGTCTCAATAAATGTCTCAATTCCGAGTGGATCAACCCCGACAAGCTGATCTGCATTTTAAACCTGATTAAATTCAATTTCGGTTCGCTGGTCCCTCGTCCTCTGCCTCCTCCTCTTCTTACTTCACCTCCTCCTTTTCGATTTTCTTACGCCGATTCTTTTGTTTTTGGCACGTAACGCCGAAAGAACTGTAATTCTAAACCTCGGCTGGAAGAAGAAGCAGAGGAGGAAGAAGAAGAAGAAGCGGATGCCAAAAGGGCGACAAAACCTGCAGTTCTGTGCAGCTGTGCAAAAGGTAAATCACAAAATGGTAGCTGTAAACCCGAAGGGCAGGCGGATTATGGAGGTACATCATCATGTGCGACAGATAGATAGATATACCATGTCTTGTACAATGGTGGTGATGGAAATGAAAATAGAGGATATAGTTCGGCTTACCTGGGTGACGGGATCCTTCATGATGAGCACATCGGTGACGGTGCCGAACATGTTGAAGTACTCCTTCAGCTTATCGGACGACGTCTGCCAGCTGAGGCCGCCGACAAAGAGTTTGCCGGGTGCCGGATCGGAGCCACTGCCTCCGCTCAGGCTGGGCGTGGATCTGCCAGAGGAGCCGCTCTTGTTGCTGCCCCCCATGGCCGGCTGGCCGTTATTCTGTCCCGCTCCGGCGGTGGCATTGACGTTCTCCTTGAGCAGCGCCAGTGCCGCCTGTTGGGCCTGCTCCTGTTTGGGCTGATCCTGTCCAGGTGGCACCACCACCACCGAGTTCTGGTTCTGTTGCACCGCCTGCTGTGACTGCTGGGCGGCACTCTTCAAGACCGCCGCTGTGGTCAGGCCGCCGCCAATGGCGGCCACACCATTGTTGGCTATCGAGGCCACCAGCGCCTGGTGGAGATCGCGGTTGTGGTGCGGATCAATTAAGCCCGCTGCTGCGGCTGCTGCTGCTGCGGCCGCGTTCTCCATGGGATTGCTGCGTGCGTAAAAGAAACTATCAGCGGTGAGCAGGTGATCCTCGCCAGAAGTGGGCGGCGGTGGCTGCTGGCGGTGCAGCATGGTGGCGCCCTCCTGCAGCGCGTGCATTTCCTGCTTTATCTGAATCTTGAAGGCTTTTCCACAACGGTTTCTCACTCAGATAATTTTTCTTCGCCCTTTTGTTGATATTCTGCTATTTTGCCGAATTGCTGTTTAGCTGTTTTCCTTTGGGTTTGCGCGTTTTCTTTAGTCTTGTAATTTTGGTGTTTTTATTTCAAAGAAAAGTCTGTATTTCACCACTTGTATGGTTTCCAAATAAAAAAAAGCATCGACTTTTGTTCTTCCTGGTAATTTTCGCACTGCTTTTCGCCGTTTTTTTATTCGATACTTGCTTTGACTACGCTTCCTTTTCTTCCCTTTTCTACTTTGTTGTTGCCAATGGCAATGAATTGCGTTTTCTGTGTTTTTTTTGCTTTATTGCTGCTCAACAAGCTCGCGAATTATTGTAAAGAGCCAAAGCCATTAATAAATGCCCAAAACGTTTATGGAAATGTTCTAGTAACACGACACTAAATTTATTCTATTTCGCTCTCGATTTGTTCCTTCTTTAATTTACGGCTGCGACTGCGCAGTTTGAAAACTGAAATTGGAATGTTGCCATGTTCGCTGCTTTAGCGCTGCCCTTCCTCTGCCGTCGGCGACGTCAGGATTGCGGAAGCAGCGTGCGCAGGGAAATGACAAAAAAGAGGGTTGCCGAGCAGCTGGCAGGTGACAGCTGATTCTTGTGGTTGCTCTGCAGAGTGTGAACGTTGGCCAACACTACCACTATAGCGCCATCTACTCTTTGTGTTTAGGATATGGGCGTTATTTTGAAAAATAAGTTTATTTTTGTTTCGGAGTCTGACCTAATTACATCATATTTTTAGCTGATTTTCCATAAATAGTCCCAAAGAGAGGCAATAAACAAGAGAGTGCAAAGTGATGTCGAGCAGTGTATCATCCACTTGAAAAGTGTTAGGATATTTCAAATTCGAATGATTTACGATCGAAGGGACAAGCTACTTGAAAATGTTTTGGGTTATTTGTCAAATTGAGTTCTTAACACCGTACTTCTATTAATATCCTGTTAATTATAAGTAATTGACCCTAATTTTTCGCAGGCCACTATATCAAGCCCTAACCGCAAAAATACGATAAGCGATATAATTGTTGTTTAAAATGAATTATGTTCAAATAAAACGTTTTACATTTGCTAAAATTATTTTGCTATCGCATTTAGATGCGGTTAGGACTCGAAATTGTTGGTTTCTAAACGATCGCTTACGAATTCTTGCGAGTCTGGCTCAATATAGTTGTCTGCAAGGATATTGTAATATTTAAAATCCTGTGCAAGACTATTATTTGGGTTCCATTCCACAGGCATTGCCCGTTATTGCGATTTCATTTTTCTCGCTTGCCGCCGAAGTGTTAACCTGGTTGGTGATCGCGGTTACCAGGCATGATGTTTCCTACACTGCCAATTCGGCACACTACGAATGCCTCGAGACCCGCGGTAGTCTATATTACCCAGCGAAGTACCTCAAGGTGAGTCCAGATCCTGACCCTGCTGAGTGCCAGCTCAAACCATGATTCCCAACAGTTCATGAGGTTCAATCAGAAGTGCGAGGTTCCACAAGGTTTGCTTCTGGCCCATCAAGGCGACACAGCAGGACCAACGTGTATGTATTGTTGCTTATTGAAAGGACCTATTCACGTAGCTTATTTAATGACCCAATTATTCGCATAACCCAAATGTGTCCGTGTCCTGTCTTCCGCAGTTGATGATAAGAAGAAGTAGTTTGCATATCCAATCCGTTCTGGTGTAGAATTACACCCTGGTTACTTGATATGGATTCATAGAGGTAGGAGTTGACTAAGCTGGCCGGAAGGAAATGCAAGCCCAGGGAAACCCTGTAGCCACTGTAGGTAGGAGACCTCAAAATCGAAATAATCCAACGATAGGAAATTCTGTGCTCTCACTGCAGGATCTTACTGGGTATTATGTTTGAACTATATATCATATACAAACCAAGTGAAACCTTAAATGTCACAGGCGCTGCGGAACGTCAGGCTGAATGGAAATGCCAGTTTCAGTTTTCTTTTCTATACAAATGGAGTGGTCAACATAATAAAAAAAAATAAAACCAAAAAACAGCTTTTTTTCCTAAAAATTTCTTTTAGTTTGACGCCAATTGGAGTGCCTAATGTGAAGTCACTCGCCTACTTTATCCCACAGGTCCTTCCGATTTTGTTCATAATAGTCGTTGGAGGTATACTTAAAGTGGGCGCCATGATCCGTCTGGCTTTCGTCAAGGACGATGTGTTCTTTACCAAGGACTCTGCGTACTATGAGTACTTGGAGACGCGCAAAGGACCCTGGTACAAGCTGAAAAGTCGTAAGGCAAGTTACTTTGAAAGCCCAAGATTTGTGCTCTATAATTCCGATATATATTCCCATATTTACTACAGTGGGGTGGTCGCGATGAGTATGATATGCCACCCGGATTGATCTTGGCCGCCCAAGGCGATGTGTCTGGTCCCTCATGTAAGTTTATAGTTACAAATTACAGGGATGTGACATGACAAACGAACTGAATTAATTGACAAGCTTTTTATAGTGTACACGTTTTTAGCGCTTCCCAGAAACTATTAAAATGTGTTTAATTATTTTTAATTTAATGTACTATTTGGCTGGACCTTCGTTCGCTTTTGTCACTTGCCAATCTTGCAGTCTAGGAGGCGTTGAAAATGATGGTAATTACCACAAGCTACCCCAGATAACCCCGACTTAATGACAACTTTCCATGTATTGCAGTTGCTGAGGAGGAAAAGCCGAAAAGTGACGAGGGTCCGGATGTTAAAACCATTGCAGGACATGCAGTGATCACAGGAGTAGCTTTGGGCTTGGCAACCATGTTGTAGTCATAGGACGAAGCAGATTTTGTTGAAAATCTCAGGATGGACTGTTTTAGATTTATTGACGACGCATGTTTCAGTTTTACTCCGATCTGTATTACACAGTTGAAAAGGACGACAGAAAGAAACAGGATAATCTCGCTTGGATTGGACGTGGTGGTCAGATTAGCATCGAAACAATGTATTTTATAGACTTGACTTTACGTCTTCCGTCTGTTCGTTTGGCCTTGAGGTTTCGGATCCGCTGAGGTGGATTCCCAACTAGACTGATGGGAGACTTCTTAGACAAGGTAAGTTTGTTTGTCTGCCATGGACTATGATTGCTTGAGTTTAATCATTAGGTATCTGAGCTATACTATCTGAGGTATTCGAGCAGAGCTTTCGGAGTGCAGGATACCGGGAAATTTAAACTGGCACGAGGAAGTCGATCCTTGCAGTTTCGGTTAAATCATGAAGAAACACACGTATGTTATTCTATTATTCTATTTCGGTTAAATTCATCTCTTCATTTCTGACTTTTGACAGCAATTTTTGCACTTTCATAAGAGGCGCCCCCAAGTGGCGAGTAGCTTTCCTTTCCTTGGAAAGTAAAGAGGTCCTCGATGTAAAATTTTACACAGCTGTGTAGAATGCAAATTGTGAATGTAAAATGGAGGTCTGTTTTTCCTAACTGCCGGATTTGATCAATGACCAATTTCTACAGCATTAGCGCCCCAAAATTCCCTAAGTTTAAATCATACATTTTTTAAAGATATTTTTTACAATAAAACAATTAAGCTTTCTATGGACTGAATTGCAATTCCAATTGATTATGTCCTTGATGCGAAGGAGGGCAACAAATACAGAACATAAGTTATAAATGAAAGCAATTTGTGGACACTGAAATAGTCCTTCAGGCCAGCAATGACATACAGCAGGAAGCTCGACGACAACCGGCTGTAACTAAGTAAAACAAAATAAATAACTCGCTTAAATATGAATATGTTTTGATAATGCCCTTAGCAAATTGCTGTACCTCTTGTGCGGACATCCCCCGAATGTCCTTTCCTCTCATTTTCCATCCAGCCCATTTTCCAGCGCGCCTGCGCCTGTCGTCAAAGGCCCAAAAAAGAGGAGAGTTCGTTTGAAAGGAAAAATCCCTAAATAAAAAAAATTGGTCGCTGCTTGGGACGATTTTCAGTCTTAAATTGGGACCATGTTTTTTTTTTTGTGTGCCAAATGAAACGCATGTGTGTGTGTGTGGGTGGGTGGCAAATACAAAACGTGGGGCGCACTGCGTGTTGCGTTATGTGCGTTATTGATTTTTGGCCCAGGAAATGGGAAATAATGCCAAAGGATATGAAATTTATTAAAATAGATTGCAAAATAATTCAATGAAGATGTCGAAAGGCAAACTTTGACGGCAGTGGGGTGCGCAAGTAGATTTCATTTTGGGGTGGGTAAGGTTTTTCACCAGCACGTGTGTATTTGTGTGGCTTTTCCTCCGTCGGTTGTTGAACTTTCCGAAGCGACGTCGTCTGCCGCATTTTTTTTTTTTACCGTGTGAAAGACGTCTGTCAATTTTATGGCTACTGACCCAGAAAAATGGAATGCTCAGGAAACCTTAGCATCGATGGCAGCAGGACGTCCCAAATACGGCAAGGATTTGCTGGGCGCCGCAAGTCGTGTGGGAAAACCCCGAATATGAAGTTGGCGATGACATCAGCAGTCGTCGCCGCGATATGTAATTCGATTAGGCGCACTTAACGTTCGCCCTCCTCCTAAAGAAGCCCCCGCACTTCCCCTCCCTGCCCTGCCACGCATTTTAATTGCGTCAAATAAACAGAATAAACAGCGGGGAAGGTGCTTGGTCACGAGCCATCATCCAACTTTTTATGGCCTCGCCTCGGACTTGGTTGGCAACACATTAAGTTAAGCACTTGGAGGTGACTTGATGTATTTGGGGATAATACACTGGGCAAGCCAGCCAATCGGCCACTAGTTTGTTGGCTAAGCACTAGAATTGAATGTGATATAAATAGGGCCATAATGAACGTAAGAAAATCAAATTTATATGTGATTAGGGAGGGGCTAACGTAGGCTTTATCACTAGAACATGTCTATAAAAATCTGTGGCTGTTGGTGAGTGAAATACCTAATGTTACCCCATATCATGGTATTACTACACATTCTACCACACTGACTAAAATCTTCAATATATTTCCCCATCGTCCTTTAAAGACTCCCTGGCTCAAAGCAGCTTGTCAGGCAAAAGTAATTTCTAAGCCGCAACGGCGATCCGATGACAAACTGCAATCTGAAAACCGTAGTCGTTTGAGCGTTTTTTCCCCTGGGCCAAAAATTGCAATGCAATTTACCGGATCCATTGCCAGAAACAACAAAAACAATCGGGTGAAAAAACATGAGAGTGAACGAAAAACAAATTGCTCGGCTTTGCTCTTCAAAAGCCCTGCAACAATTTCCCACTCTCTCACCTGTCCTTTGTCCTTTGTCCTTTCGCCCTGCATTTAACACCCACACCCACCCAAGTTGCATCAAATTTATGTAGACTCAAAACTGCAGTTCGGTGAAAAGCGCGAGAGAGCGAGTGGTATTTTCATTGAGAAAAATGCCACAAAATGAAAATGACGGCAACTCTTTTCGAGCTAAAAGCGTATGGCGCAACTTTATTGTTTTTACATTTGATTTTTCCCCAACCCATGGAAAGGGAAGGCAGCGTGTTGGAGCTGGAGAAAAAAGGAAAAAAGGAAAACCACTTGCACTGGGCAAAGTGCAGAGGGCCACGGAAAACGCCGCATAAGCTCGGCTCTGGGAAAAGTCTATATATCATATATGTGCGATTTACGGGGTGGGTGGCATTCGTTCATCGTTTCGGAGAACTGGAAGTAGCGAGCGCGGCAGCGACTGGAAGTAACCACCCTCGAATGCGAAGCGTCGGGCCGTACACCGAGCGAAAATGTGCCCCAGTAGGATGCATTTCCACCGGCGGCATATGTACAAATAACGCTGTGAGTGGCCGAACAGAGATGGAGAGAGGGGCGAGCGAAAGAGACGGCTGGCAGCAACCCCCTGAAATCGGGGGAGATATTTTGCAATTGGAATGCGCGCGCAACCCTCGAAAAGCCGACGAAAATCGAGACGATGGTGGCCGCTACCCTGGGCTGCCTTTCAGTCAACTTTGGGTTTCCGTACGTGCAATTTATCCCGGACCGATGACGGATCACATGTACCTCGAAAGCGGGCCACAAACTAACCCAAATCCCCGTTGGATAGTCCCCATCTACTGAGAACTATACTCCCCAATGTGTTTCAGGCAGTGAACAAAGTGCTGCGAACTAATTGATGTACTCCCAACCACTGAGGAGATCTGAAAAGGATATATACCATGTATACCATGAAATCGGACGCTTGCCATTGATATTGTCCTGTCACAGCAGTATTGTAACACTATATTATAGCTTACTGCTGGGTCGGGGCATTAACATTGTTGAGCGTCATTAGCAACGAGCGGCGGTCAGGAAAAAAGCGAGAAAAACGCACCAAGCTTTCTTTTCCGGCTTTGTGGAAATTACACACACACATGCACACACACACATGCACACACACATGCACGCACGAAGGAGCTTGTCCAGTGCGATTGTGTGTGTATATGAGCGACCGGAAAAATCAATTTTCCATTTTTAATTCAAAGCTCACACAGCACAGGACACTCGCACACACGCACACAGCGCACGTGCATGTATATATGAAATGTACTTATATATGTGTAAGTGTGTGTGTGTGTATCGGGCCGAAAAGGGATAAGCAGGATGCTGCAAATTCTGCAGGACGAGCGAGAAGCACTGCGCGTGAGAAAGGGACAGCAGCATCCAGAGAGTGAGAGAGCTAAGAGAGAGATTCCGCATACAGGGATAAATCCCATTTCGTGTAGACAAAAGCTGAGAAATTAATCAGAATCAGCTTGAAAAAATTCAAATAATTATAGTTTGTAATCTAAAAAGTGGGAAGTTGTTAGGACTTTTAGGGAGATCCAACTGGTATTTGTATAAAAGGATTTTGACTAGAAGGCCAAAAACGAAGTAACGACCACTCCCTGATTTTTCGTGGGAGTTTCTGGGTGGGCTTAAGAAAGGCATTACGGGGGATGCAGAGGCTTGGCATCCGCCTCTTTTTTTTCGGCCCGGAAAATTGTTGCCAACCCGAAAAGCCGTAAAAGTTCGAAGAAATGCC